GCTAGGGGGGTAGGGGCTAGGGGCTTGCACGGCTCGGAAGGTGCTAGGGGGAGTTGCCATTTTTCGTTTGTGAGGTAATGTCGTTTTACGGTACCGTGCTGAAAGGCATGAACCCAGGTATGATTAGGTTTGCACAGCGCGGCCTGGTGAGGAAGTTTGGGGAAGAAGTTCAGAAATTAGGCTTGTCATCAGGAGGCAATATCTTCCTGGCGCCGCAGCATTTGCGGCTTATTAATGCAGGCTGTATGTACGTTGTTAATATGTTTATGGCGGCAGCCCAGCCTCTTCCTAAGCGAAACGACGCCAACCCTAGGGCCTTCCTCCCTAGGCCCTTCCCCCCTAGCCCTGTTCCCGTTTGGCGGCGGCTGCAAGGCTTGGGGGGCGGGCGGTTGCGTGTGATAGCCGTGTGGGCGCAGGTGCTAGAAGGCGGCAAGCGGCAGCAAAGCGGCAAAAGGCGGGCGAATGCGGGCAGGAAGACGGAATCTGCTCCCGACGGGTGCATGCAGCAGGCGGCCACGAGGCGCCTCCGGCCCAAAGCCAAGTGCCAGTTGCCCGCGGGCGCCTTACCCCAGGCCGCAAAGGCCCGCCCCCAGGGGTCCGAGGCCGTCACGAGCCCCCAGCCCTCCTCCGCTGACAGGGCGACCAGGGCGTCATCGGCCTCGTCGGCCCGGCGGCTGGCCCGCCAGCAGCCGCGGGCGCTGCATGTCAGGGCGGCGAGTTGCGGGAAGCCCCGAAGTGCGGCGGGAGGGCACGCGAATTCGAGGCTGGGCCGGCGTTGTTTGAGGTACGGGCAGGGTGACCTGTGCTTCAACCACAGGCCTCCGCCGCCCGGAGGAAGCGGCGCCGGCGGCGTAGAGCATTGCCACGGCGTCGGGCCGTGCAGGCACAGCCGGCCGCCACTCCGAGGCAGTGGCGCGCTTGCCGTGGCTGCGTGGGCTCGAACATGTCGCTGTTGTACCATGGGTGCATGCAGCAGGCGGCCACGAGGCGCCTCCGGCCCAAAGCCAAGTGCCAGTTGCCCGCGGGCGCCTTACCCCAGGCCGCAAAGGCCCGCCCCCAGGGGTCCGAGGCCGTCACGAGCCCCCAGCCCTCCTCCGCTGACAGGGCGACCAGGGCGTCATCGGCCTCGTCGGCCCGGCGGCTGGCCCGCCAGCAGCCGCGGGCGCTGCATGTCAGGGCGGCGAGTTGCGGGAAGCCCCGAAGTGCGGCGGGAGGGCACGCGAAGTCGAGGCAAAGCCGGCCTTGTTTGAGTTACGGGCAGGGTGACCCACGGGTCCGCAGGCAGCAGCGCAGCGGCGGTGGCACTTGAGGCTTCTCTTATTGGAATGGACGGCAGGCCTAGGGACAAGGCGGCCGGGCGGCTGGCCCGCCAGCAGCACAGCGGCCCCACCCCAGGGGCTAGGGGCTTGCGATGTGAAAGGGCAACTTGGGCGCTGCTGGCATGCTGCCGCTGCATGTGAGGGGGGCGGTGCGTCGGGTGAAGGGAGAGCTTGGCGAGTTGCGGGAAGGCCCAAAGTGCGGCGGGATTGCAGGCTGGGCCGGCCTTGTTTGAGGCGTGGGTTCGCAGGCAGCAGCGCAGCGGCAGCGGCGCTTCAGGCTTCAGGGAGACCCGGGGTGTACAAGGTAGGGACTTGCATGCATGGCTAGGAAGGGGGTTAGCGGGGAAGGGGCTAGGGGCTTGTACGGCTGGGATGGGGGTTAGGGGGGTAGGGGCTAGGGGCTTGCACGGCTCGGAAGGGAGGTGCCGTGTATGCAAGCCCCTACCTCGTACACCCCGGGTCTCCCTTCCAAACTTCCTCTGGGCGCCGGAGGTCTGTGGTTGGACCACAGGCCCTAGGCTTGGCATCCATTCACCCCGGGAGGGCACGCGAAATCGAGGCTGGGCCGGCCTTGTTTGAGTTACGGGCAGGGTGACCCACGGGTCCGCAGGCAGCAGCGCAGCGGCAGTGGCACTTGAGGCTTCTCGCAGCGGCAGTGGCACTTGAGGCTTCTCTTATTGGAATGGACGGCAGGCCTAGGGACAACACGGCCGGGCGGCTGGCCCGCCAGCAGCACAGCGGCCCCACCCCAGGGGCTAGGGGCTTGCGATGTGAAAGGGCAACTTGGGCGCTGCTGGCATGGTGCTGCTGCATGTGAGGGGGGCGCTGCGTCGGGCAGTGGGAGGGCTTGGCGAGTTGCGGGAAGGCCCAAAGTGCGGCGGGATTGCATGCTGGGCCGGCCTTGTTTGAGGCATGGGTTCGCAGGCAGCAGCGCAGCGGCAGCGGCGCTTCAGGCTTCAGGGAGACCCGGGGTGTACGAGGTAGGGACTTGCATGCATGGCTAGGAAGGGGGTTAGCGGGAAAGGGGCTAGGGGCTTGCACGGCTCGGAAGGGGGGTAGGGGGGTAGGGGCTAGGGGCTTGCACGGCTCGGAAGGGGGCTAGGGGGCTGGCGGGCCAGCTGCACAGCGGCTCCACCCCAGGGGCTAGGGGCTTGCGATGTGAAAGGGCAACTTGGGCGCTGCTGGCATGCTGCCGCTGCATGTGAGGGGGGCGTTGCGTCGGGCGGTGCAAGGGTTTGGCGAGTTGCGGGAAGGCCCGAAGTGCGGCGGGATTGCCGGCTGGGCCGGCCTTGTTTGAGGCATGGGTTTGCAGGCAGCAGCGCAGCGGCAGCGGCGCTTCAGGCTTCAGGCTACCCGGGGTGTACGAGGTAGGGACTTGCATGCATGGCTAGGAAGGGGGTTAGCGGGGATGGGGCTAGGGGCTTGCACGGCTCGGAAGCCGGGGCTAGGGGGGAAGGGGCTAGGGGCTTGCATGGCTAGGAAGCCGGGGCTAGGGGGGTAGGGGCTAGGGGCTTGCACGGCTAGGAAGGGGGGTAGGGGGGTAGGGGCTAGGGGCTTGCACGGCTCGGAAGGGGGCTAGGGGGGTAGGGGCTAGGGGCTTGCACGGCTCGGAAGGTGCTAGGGGGAGGTGCCATTTTTCGTTTGTGAGGTAATGTTGTTTTACGGTACCGTGCTGAACGGCATGAACCCAGGTGTGAATAGTTGTGCAAAGCGCGGCCTGGTGCGCAAGATTGGGGAAGAAGTTTGAAAATTTGGCTTGTCATCAGGAGGCCATATCTTCCTGGCGCCGCAGCAATTTCAGGTGCCGATTGCGGCTTCTTAACGCAGGCTGTATGTAGGTTATTAATACCTTTATGGCGGCAGCCCAGCCTTTTCCCAAGCGAAACGACGCCAACCCTAGGGGCTTCCTCCCTAGGGCCTTCCCCCCTAGCCTTGTTCCCGTTTGGCGCCGGCTGCAAGGCTTGGGGGGCGGGCGGTTGCGTCCGATAGCCCTCCAGGCGCAGGTGCTAGAAGGCGGCAAGCGGCAGGAAAGCGGCAAAAGGCGGGCGAATGCGGGCAGGAAGAAGGAATCTGCTCCCGGCAGGAATCGAACAGGGGTGTGACAACTACGTCAGCTGTCGACGTCAGCCCCCCTCAGCCGAGGGCTGAGGGTGTCAGCATCCTAACCGCCTAGACTACGGTGACACTATTACGCTTTGATGACAAAAGTGGCCACATAACAGATATAGTCAACGAAACAGCTAATAAACACAAAAAACGCATTACTAAGAGGTCGTTGATTGATACAATACACATGCAAACAAATTATATATATAGGAAAGTGTACGTAAATGCAGTTGCGGTGCAGAATTTAATATAAACCAATGCGTTGTGTTCATATATTGTGTTTAGGGCCGTGTAACAGAAAAGGTGATTGAAGCATGTGCTCACCATGAGCAACAGAAAATTGGCTTTTTGATTTCTGTCTCTCAGATATTTATATCTCATCTCGGTCTTTGACAAGTCTGGGACCGAGGGCGCGTGAGTGACACAAAATAAAGTTGTCTTTTCTTCCACCATCCATTGTGAGCATCGTGGCAAAATTTCATATCACTTTCTACCCCCTTTCCCACTTATTTTGGATATCTGCCAGGTTAAGACGACCCCTGAGATGATCACCATTCATGCAATTTAGGGAAACGCAGGATGCAGCGAAGGAACTTGGCTCAACACCTCACACACATGGCAGTGAAAACATCGGCTTGCAAAGCTTTAATAAGAAAACCAAACATAAAACACACGCACATTATGAATGAGCCATACCATGTGTACCTGCCCATGCATGTGTACGTATTGGGCGCAAATATGTACATACTCGATTACTAAGCACACACAACAGTGATAATTTATCCCAAGCAAATCCATGTTACCACTTGCCGCTTGCCACCCTGCACCTGCATGATTCATGTAGTGCTTCAGCATGTGAGAAAACATTACACCGCACAATCAAGATTTAAGAAACAATGACATTAATAAATAAAATACATAACTGGCAATTTTGGAAAGCATGTTTTGACAACACCCACGACTATGGTAAGGTTGCTCTGTAATTGGTAAGTTTGGTAAGTTTCAGCTCGCAGTGCATCTGTCACCAGTTCGGCTTGACTCCCTGTTTTTCCATCAGAGCTTGTCAGCTAGCTTCATACCACACATTGGAATTTCTTTTTCACACTCACATGTGTTGATGATCCGCATCAACCATGACGCATGCCTCCAGTTCGCTTCAAACAAACCGTACAAGTTACCTTCGTAACCCCAGCTCTTTATTGTACAGCCAACAAGTCACCGCCACCTGGAACCTTTGTTTTTCAGGGGGGGGCCCTCGTGTCTGCGAAGTGTTGTATTACGCTCTGTACTTAGCGTAATCTGAGTAGCAGCTGTGGCTACTAGTCTTACAGCTGTACGTAAGGCTCTGTAAACCCGTTACTGTCAACGGTATTCTCGTACTGTCGCGAGAATGGGACTGTTTCTGTTACAGTCGAGACACTGGTCTCTAGTGCTTAACTGCCTACCGATTACTGTACGTACTGATACGTCTGTCTGGGTCGTCATCTGCAACTTCGAGGCCTGTACGACAACCTCGTACCGCGACGCCGCCTACTTCGGGCTATGCCCACCCTAATCGGTAGTTTTCACTACCACCATCTTTGATGGACTTAGTTATTGGATACCACATAGCTGGTATCGAGACGGTCTTTTCGTAGGTGCTATCGCTTCCGCTGATTTCCGACATCATGGACGAGGAGTTGTCTTACGAGTCACTCATGGCTACGGACAATGGTCTGTCCTTCTAACTGAATTTCTCGCTGCAACTTTAGTTGGGTTCCTGCTAACTCATTAGTTCATTGCAGACGCCGTCGAGGCTGCGCAAGCCGAAGTCGTGGTTGCTAACAACCGCGCTGACGCCGCTGAGGCTCGAGCTTTTGCTGCTGAGACTCGTGCTGTGGCCGCTGAAGCTCGCGCGGCGCTCGCTGAGGCCGCGGTTACGCAATTGCAAAGCGTGATTCGGACCGTTTCACACGCTCTCAACAGCGTTGAGCTGCCTTCCGGTGGGGTAATTCCTGCGCTGTTAACATGTCTGACACGTGGGGTGGTTTCCGGCTGAATGGCTTGCCGCCTGGGCTAGGTGATGGCGCTCAGCCGCCGGGGCAGGGATTCGATACTCAGCCGTTACCGACGGACCAGGATGGCGAGTATGTGCCGCAGTCACCTGACCAACGGGCTGGGACAGAACGGTCTCTGCAGGATGAAATTGATGCTATGTTCGCCCGGCCACGAACTGACCTGCCCCGTGACCCACGCCCACGCCGTTTTCCTCCGTTTTCAGCCACGCGCAATGCTGGTGGCGCGGCTGCTGATGCCGCGCCTGCCCCTGCCGCTGCTGCGCCTGCTCCTGCGCCTGTGGCTGCTGCTGCTGTCGCGCCTGTTCGCGCTGATGAGGTACTTAAAGTTGATGTTCCGGTGCCTAAGCTGAACCTAGACGACAGGATAGAGGCTCGGGACATCCCGGTTAGGACAAGGGCCTTCATTCGGGACATTCACCGGTACTTTGAGCTTGTCAGGGGTGGTCACCTCGACAGTGTGCGTTGCCTCTGTTTGGCTAACGTGCTCGAGGGTCGCGCCAAGCGTTGGCACGACGAGTGGACCCTTGCTCGCACTACGTACACCTCACGTGAACTGCTCGATGCCCTGCTGGTCCGCTTTGCACCGCAAATCCGTTCCCGTGAGACTGAGGCACGCCAGAAGCTTGCCTCTGGTCGCTATCGCATGCGCTCTAGCGAATCTGTCGCTGCATATCAGAGCCGCTTCGATGCGCTGTTCACCGCCATTGCCGAACCCACTGAGGGGGAACGCATGTTCTGGTTCCAGTCTGGCCTGTCTGATCGCCTGACTGCTGCTTGTGCCGCTACCTTCCGTGGCACTCCCTTCAGCTCCTATCGGGACTTGGTACAGGCTGCTCTGGGCGAGGAGGCCCGTCTGACTGCCTCTAAATATGCCCACTCTGCCCTCCGTCTGAACTTCTTCGCTGCCGCTCAGGACATGTCTGAGAGTGAGGAAGAGGAGGTGGAGCGGCCGCCCAAGAAGTCCAAGCACGCCAAGAAGTCCCAGCCTCGCGCTGCTGCCGCCACTGCTCACGGCAAGGGCAACAGCAAGGGCAACGGCAAGGGGCACGGCAAGGGCGGCAACGGCAAGGGCACGCTGGGGGCCAAGGGCGGTGTTGAGAAGGGGAAGGGGGAGCGGATGATGCGGAACTTCCCCTGTTCCCATACTGAGTACCAGCGGCGCTTGGCCAACAACGAGTGCTTGCGTTGCGGGAGCAAGAAACACATGGTGAAGGTCTGCCGGTCGGTCGCTGGTGAGCTGTGGGTGCCTCCTGAGGAGGCCGCCCAGCCGATCGTTGGCTAGGGGGTTACCCAGGCTGGTGTTGAGGGGTCACCTCCTGGGCGTCTTTCACCTGCAGCGCTCGACGTCTGTCCTAGTCGTGCGGTTAGGGCTCTGTTGCCTACTGTGCTTGAGCAGGTCGAACAGTTGGTGGGACGCCGTTTCTCGTTTGATGCCCGCGTTGCTTGCGCTGGGTTCGCTGTTGCATGTAATCTGTTCATGCCGCGCGGTCGTCCTCTGTCCTCTGTCAGCCTAGCTCGGCACACTGTCCTGTTTACCCCTTCCACGCTGCATGAGTTTCAGTCACAACTCGTGCACTACCGGGCATGCAAACGCCAGCATCCTGATACTGCTTGTGGCATTCTGTTGCCTGCATACCTCGCACGTAAGGCTTCCCCACTGCTTACAGGTATGAAGCGGGTGCATACGTTTAGCAAGGGATCTGTTCTCTTTAACGGGCTAGACGTCGAGGGTCAGCTTGTTCCCCTGCCTGGTGTCTCGCATGCCGTAGATGTTTGGTATGATGCCCCCTCTTCCTCTGCTAGTTTGGCTAACGCAGCACCCGTTGTGTCTAGTATTCTTCTGCCAGTTGCCGCCGCTGTCTCAGGTGAACAACTGCCGCTGATCAAGCTCCGTGCTGCTGGCTGCGACCTCTCTGCCCTGGTCGATGCTGGAGCTAGTCATGACTTCGTGTCTGACTCTGTCGTACGGCAACTGGGTCTTCGGATTCGCTCTAGTGAGTGGAAACACGTTACCCTCGCTGACGGAGGTAAGCAGGACATTCTGGGCCAAGTGACGCTGCGCCTGTCTGTAGGGCACATGCATCTCACGCTGCAGCCGTTTGTCTTGCCAGAGCTCACTGACGCTGCATCGTACATCTTGGGATCTGCTACCCTTGATAAGTACGCTGCCGTACTCGATTTCGGTGCTCGCTGTTTGCGCCTGCGCAAGGGCACTCTGACCTGCAAGGTTCCTGTGTGTTTTGCGTCGAGTACACCTGATGCCTCTCCGCCCGTTGTTAACTTTGCCGCTGCTGCTCTTTGTCAGCAGGCCGTGCCCGAAACGGTTGGTCGCAAGGCTGCTGTGCGCATGCTTCGTAAGGGAGCCCATGCCTTGCTCGTCCGCCCTAAGCTGCAGCTTAACAACGCTGTACCGCAGTCCGCTGACAAGGACCCGCAGGTTGAGGCTCTGCTGGAAGAGTACGCTGATGTGTTCCGCGAGATTCCTGGTTTACCGCCCATGCGTCCCGTGGATCACACCATTCCCCTGATGCCTGAGGCGCAGCCTGTTTCGCGCCCCATGTACCGCCTCAGTCCCCTGGAGTTGGATGAGGTTAAGCGTCAGGTGACTGACCTGCTGAAGAAAGGTATGATCCGCCCGAGTACGTCCCCGTATTCTGCCCCCATTCTGTTCGTGGGCAAGAAGGACGGTACGCTGCGCATGTGCATTGACTACCGGGGTCTTAACGCTGCTACTGTTAAGAACAAGTACCCGCTGCCACGGGTCGATGATCTCTTGGATAAGCTGAAGGGTTCGGCGTACTTCTCTTCCATTGATCTGCAGCAGGGTTATAACCAAATCCGCATTGCTGACTCTGACATTCCAAAGACTGCTTTCCGTACTCCGTATGGGCACTACGAGTACACTGTCCTCAGCTTTGGTCTTGTTAACGCCCCTGCCACGTTCCAAGCCGTTATGGACCGTACCTTCAGGCAGTACATTGATAAGTTCGTCGTTTGCTATCTGGATGACATCCTAGTCTACTCTAAGACCAAGGAAGAACACCTGGAGCATCTGCGGCTCGTGTTTGACATCCTTCGGAAGCAACAGCTGTACGCCAAGCGTTCCAAGTGCCATTGGGCTCAATCGCAGGTTGAGTACTTGGGCCACATCGTTTCTGTTGACGGTGTTCGCATGGACCCCCGCAAGACTGCTGCTGTGCGGGATTGGCCTGTTCCGACCAATGTTCAAGAGCTCCGTAAGTTCTTGGGTCTGACGAACTACTTTCGTAAGTTTATTGCGCGCTACTCTGTTCTGGCGGCGCCTCTTACGAGTCTCACGGGCAAGAATGCTTTCTCGTCCCCTGCTGCCTGGACTCCTGCCTGCCAAGCTGCTTTTGACGCCATTAAGCGCACTGTTGCTGGTGATATCGTTTTGCGCTTCCCTGATTTCTCCCTGCCTTTTCGTGTCGAGGTTATTACCGATGCGTCCCTTTACGGCACTGGAGCTGTTCTGTTGCAGGAAGGGCGTCCTGTCGCCTTCACGAGCAAAAAGTTCTCGTCCGCCGAGCGCAACTACACTACGGGTGAACAGGAATTGCTCGCGGTGTTGCATGCTCTTCGCGAGTGGCGCTGCTATCTGGAGGGCCGTCCGTTTGTCGTCAAGACTGACCACAAGCCCCTCACTTTCTTGCAAGGGGTCCCTACGTTGAACCGCCGACAGGCTCGCTGGATGGAGTATATGGCGCGTTTCAACTACAACTGGGAGTATCTGTCCGGCTCGCTCAACATTGCTGATGCGCTTAGCCGACACCCCAACTTGCATGCTGTCTTTCTGTCTGCGGTTACGCGTAGCCAGACTGCGCAATCTGCCCAGCCGCCGTCCGTTTCTGAGTTTGCTGCCCGCATTAAGCGTGGTTACTCAACTGACCCATGGTTCACTGTTGCCAAAAATACCGCGAGGCTGACTTCTGATCGTGGTTTTTGGGTCCGTACAGATGGTGATCGCCGACAGTTTGTCGTCCCGAATGACGACGCTCTGCGCCGAGATCTCCTGCGGAAGTTCCATGACGGTCCTCTGGCTGGACACCCTGGCTGCACGCGTTTGGTGGAACTCCTGCGCCGTACCTTCTGGTGGCCTCGTATGGCTAAGGACGCCGAGAACTACGTCCTCTGTTGCAGTGAGTGTCAGGCTAACAAACCCCTGTCGGGCAAGGGTCACGGTCTGTTGCAACCGCTGCCCATTCCGAATGCGCCCTGGGAAAGTGTCTCTATGGACTTTGTTGTCGCACTGCCCAAAACTGAAGGGGGATACGACGCTGTCCTTGTCTTGGTTGACCGTTTAACGAAGATGACACACCTGGCTCCTACCACCACCGCCTGTACTGCTGAACAAACTGCTCGCCTGTTCTTTGATAACGTGGTACGTTTGCATGGAGTCCCTGCTAACGTGGTCTCTGATCGTGGTCCTCAATTCGCAAGTAAGTTTTGGGCTGCGTTGGGTGAGCTGCTGTCTATGCGCGTCAATCTGTCGACTGCGTATCACCCTCAGACCGACGGTCAGACTGAGCGTGTTAACCGCACGTTAGGTGACATGCTGCGCAACTTTGCTGGCCGTAACCCGTCTGCCTGGGATACATACTTGACTGCTGCTGAGTTTGCACTGAACAATGCTGTGAACCGCTCCTCTGGGCAAAGTCCGTTCTTTCTGATGTACGGATTCCATCCCGCCTTGCCTGTTTGGCGTGAGTTGGACGTCTCTGTTCCTGCTGCTAAGACGTTTGCCAAGTCCTTTGTATCCCGCCTTGCCGAAGCCAAGGCCTGCCTCGAAGCTGCTCAACAACGGGCCGCGGATTACTACAACCGCAACAAGAAAGACGTGGTCTTCACCCCGGGTCAGTTAGTGATGTTGAGTACCAAGAACCTTCGCAGTAGGGTCACGGGTCCACGCAAACTGCTTCCTCGCTGGGTTGGTCCGTTCCCTGTAGTACGCATGGTTGGCTATGCTGCTGTTGAGCTACGCCTGCCGTCTGACATGCGGGTTCATTCCACCTTTCACGTGTCTTTGGTTCGCCCATACCGTGAAGCTGACGAGTCCTCCCCTAGTGTAACCAAGGAGCCGGGACCGGTGGCTTGGATTAACAATGAACCCCAGTACTCTGTTGAGCGCATCCTGGATTACAGGCTCCGCCGCGTCCGCTCTGGTCGGCGTCACCGTAACGTGCACGAGTACCTTGTCAAGTGGCTTGGTTACTCGTCTGAGCACAACAGCTGGGAGCCTGCTGCCAACTTCACCCCGGATCTGAAGCCTCTGCTGGATGAGGTCCGTCTTCGGTCTCAAGGGGCAGCGAGGACGCTGCCGCGAGAAGGGGGATAGTTGTTGTATTACGCTCTGTACTTAGCGTAATCTGAGTAGCAGCTGTGGCTACTAGTCTTACAGCTGTACGTAAGGCTCTGTAAACCCGTTACTGTCAACCGTATTCTCGTACTGTCGCGAGAATGGGACTGTTTCTGTTACAGTCGAGACACTGGTCTCTAGTGCTTAACTGCCTACCGATTACTGTACGTACTGATACGTCTGTCTGGGTCGTCATCTGCAACTTCGAGGCCTGTACGACAACCTCGTACCGCGACGCCGCCTACTTCGGGCTATGCCCACCCTAATCGGTAGTTTTCACTACCACCATCTTTGATGGACTTAGTTATTGGATACCACACGAAGCTGACGGGTTTTGTTTCGTATTTCATTCCCTGACATGGACCTTACACTGCGAAGAGCAAAAGCACACTTTGAAGAAGCGAGCATGCAAGAGTTCGAATATGAAAACGGCAAACAAACAAAGTCCTAAACCAAGCGCAAATATTGCTCCGAGCCGAAGAGAACCACGCCTGCACCTTTGCATGCGAGCCACACCAAAACACCAATACCCCGTCCACCGCCTACAACCCAGCCAAAATGGGCTGCTACGGACTGCCTGCCAGCCCCTACATACATTCCCAATGCGGAAGCCAACATGGAACAAGCACAACGAGTAAAAACGGGAACAGGGGAGCACATACAGAAGCAAAACACCTTGCTACATACAGCTCCGGCCGGCACCTACATTTGTTGAGGTTGACAGTCAGCCAGGCCCTAAGGTGGGCCGGTACTGGAACAAAACACCAAGGAAAAAACAACCGCCACAGAAATCCCACCACCAGCCCTAAACAGCCCTAAACAACAGCCCATGAGTAAGATGACGCTAACAAAGTGAGTCAACGAGCAACGCCCACAAGTCAATCACCCTCCCATCCAGTGAAGCAAGGTCAAAGCCCAACCCACTGGACCCCATCTCGACCATCGCCTCCTGGGCCAGCACCTGAGAAAACAAAATGGCCTCCCAGTCCTTGGGCTCCCAGGCCGACGCCACCCACCCAACCTGTCGTAGAACCCAATTTCAGCATGGCTTTAGCCAT